GACCTAGACATTTGGGAGTTGTGGTTGCTGGGATTTATAGTTCACCTACAATCAAAGAGCATTGTGCACACCACCAAGGATAAAATTGGGCCAAACTTCCCACACAGAACCCCCATGCCTTGAAGGGAGTCGCTGACACGAGCCTCGTTTCAGCCTCACACGCTCTCCCTCGCCCACACGTGCACACCACATTGCCATGCGCTGAGCACGCCTGCGCTTCCCTCTCCCCACCGAGTCCCCCTGGGGGAGATGGACCAGGATATAAATAAAGTATTATTATTATTATTATTGTTATTGTTATTGTTATTATTATTATCTTCAGCTTTTTCTGCCAAAGGGGTTCCTAAGACCATCAGAAATATATGCTTTGTGATGGTCTTTGTTGACCCCTCTGAAACCCTCTCGCTACTGGCCCCAAGGTTGAGAAACATTGCATTATGGATTGCGTAGGATCTTGGCCAACATTCCCATTCCCATAATCCCCACCCTTTGAACCATGCAGAAATAGGACACCTTACACTGCTCCAAATTAATGGGTGGCAACCAAGGCAGGTTGCCCTCTTATGCAACCAGGCAATGTCTCTCCAAAACACTGGCACCTCTTCCCGTTGTGATGGAGTCATTGCAACACCAGGAAAATGATGCATGATGAGTTTGGGATGGGAAGCAGACCTTCTCGTGCAATGTAGGTGGGTCCTTGTGGGTTATTTTTCCAAGAGCTAATTCCATGCCGGAATGTCACACCATGTTTACGCTGTGTTGGAACATCGCTTGGCAATTGTGCGGCATGCGGCGCGTGAAGCGACCCACTCGCGCAACCTCTGGCTTTTCTCAGTGTTGGTTATGGATAGCTAAACCTCTCCTGACGGCCAATTTTGGAACGAAGCCACCACCTGTTGTCCCGGGAGGTTGTGTAAGGACGCCTGACTTCCCTGAAGCCCTTTCAGGATTGAATTTCATTTCTTCCACTGGGATGATTCCTGCGTTGGTTGCCTGTGACAGTTCCAAACGAACAGTCTGGCTTAGCAGGAGGCTTTCCCATTCTCTTGCTTAAAAATATATGTATATATGCACGAGGATTTCTTCTGTTGTTGAGGTCAAGACTCAAGACATCCCACCATATTGTCGAAGGCTTTCATGGCCGGAATCACTGGGTTGTTGTAGGTTTTTTCGGGCTATATGGCCATGTTCTAGAAGCATTCTCTCCTGACGTTTTGCCTGCATCTATGCAAGCATCCTCAGAGCCCGAAAAACCTACAACATCCAACCATAATCTTGGGCCAGGAAAATGGCAAGCGGCGACAGGTTGGGACTTATTGGTGGTAGCACCCCATTTGTGAAATTCCCTATCTTTTGTTTTGATTCCTCTGTGGCTTCACTTTGTTCTCTTGGCCTTAAAGAAAAGTTCTGTGTCAGCTTCTTCATTCAACTGTTCTAGCCCAGTGGTTCTCAACCTTCCTAATGCCGCGACCCCTTAATACAGTTCCTCATGTTGTGGTGACCCCCAACCAGAACATTATTTACATTACTGTCATCTTGCTACTCTTACAAATTTTCGTGTAAATATCTGATCTGCAGAATGTATTTTCATTAATTTGGCACAAATACCCAATATGCCGATATTTGAATACTTGTGGGGTTAGGGGGAATTGATTTTGTCATTTGGGAGTTGTAGTTGTTGGGATTTATAGTTCACCTACAATCAAAGAGCATTCTGAACTCCACCAATGATGGAACTTGGCACACAGAACTTGGTGGGCATTGACCTTGAGTTTTGGAGTTGTAGTTCACCTACGTCCAGAGAGCACTGTGGACTCAAACAATGATGGATTTGGACCAAACTTGGCAGAGATACTCACTAGTAAAGTTTGGGGGAAAATAGAGCTTGACATTAGGGAGTTGTAGTTGCTGGGATTTATAGTTCACCTACATTCAAAGCACATTCTGAACCCCACAACTCCCAAATGTCACAGTCTATTTTCCCCAAACTCCACCAGTGTCTACGTTTGGACATATTGAGTATTTGTGCCAAGTTTGTTCCAGATCTATCATTGAAGTAGCTGCGAAAATAATGTTATGTTTGGGGGTCACCACAACATGGGGAACTGTATTAAGGGGTTGCGGCATTAGGAAGGTTGAGCACCACTGGGACAAAGGCTTGGACATCCGGAATACCAAACATTTGCCAAGTTTTCATTGCAAGATGACAGCTCCTTTCAAAAGTTATGACCATTGAGTGTGATAATCCAAAAATATTATTATTATTATTATTATTATTATTATTATTATTATTATTATGGCCATTGAGTGTGATAGTCCAAAAATATTATTATTATTATTATTATTATTATGGCCATTGAGTGTGATAGTCCAAAATATTATTATTATTATTATTATTATTATTATTATTATTATGGCCATTGAGTGTGATAGTCAAAATTATTATTATTATTACTATTGTTATTATTGTCCAAAAAGGCAACTCTCCTCTTTCCTTTGGGCCTTTGTTTTCCATCTTCAACTGAAGGGACTCACTTTTCCACTTTGGAGTGCCTTTCAGAAGTGTCCTCACTCTTGTTCTCATTTTTGGTCTAATTGAATATTTCCTCTTGGGATTTCCTCCGGCTAAAATTATCCCACTCGTTCCTTTTGTCCCCCATATTTCTGTGTCGCCTCCTAAATAGCTCATTAAGAAAACACTTGTGTTGACCTTGTCAAGCCAAAGCGCTTCCATGGAGATGCTGGGCAGGTTCTCATTTTACCCTCTCGCTGGATCTTTTTGAGGTATAATGCTTGAAAACTGTGTTTTATTCTGATTTATTTGGGTTTGACTTGTGTATAGAATGCAATGGCTGTATTTTAGAAAGTCTTTCAGGTTCATGGGGTTTGGGAACGAGAGAGGGATGCTGTTTTGATGCTCAGATATTGGCTTTCTTCAGATCTTATCATCAGAAGAAGAGGAAAAGAAGTTTGTTTTAGCTGCGAAAGGTTCCTTGGTGACTCCTCTCTGTCATAAACAGTTTAAATAAAGCTTGTGATAAGACGTTTTTCCGTGCTTATCAATTCTGTTTGCTTATCAGTTCCGATCATGTCTGGTTTCTGTGGGTGGCTTCTTCTTCTTAACTATATGTTGCTAAGCTGTGGATTTCAAGTAAAGTCAACAACAAGGTGGATAAAAGTGGACTTTCTCCCCACTTTCCACCCATGAGTGTTTCAAGTCATCTTCCTCATATACAGCACCTATCTAAACAAGGAATGTTTCAAATAATTTATCTTTTGTCTTATCGTTGTTTGATGCCTGACTCGCATGTTGAGCATTTCCACTGGGAGCATTTGATGTGATTTGGATAGTGCTCAGCAGATATGATCTATTTCAGAGTTTCTAACTTGGGGGCCGCATGCTAATACAAGAAGGGAGGGAGGGAAGGATGAAGGAGAAGGAAGGAAAGAAGGAGAAAAAGAGAAGGAAGGAAGAAAGGCAGGAAGGAAGAGAAGGGAAGGATAAAGGAAGTGAAGGAAGGAAAGACAAAGGGAAGGAAGGAAAAAGAGGGAGAGAGGGAAGGAAGGATGAAAGGATGGAAGAGAAGGAAGTAGGGAGGGAGGGAAGGAGGAAGGAAAGACGGAAGGAAGGAAGAAAAGGGAAGGAAGGGAGGGAGGAAGAGAAGGAAGGAAGGGAAGGATAAAGGAAAGAGAAAAGGAAGAAAGACAAAAGGGAAGGAAAAGAGAAGGAAGAAAAGAAGAAAGGGAGGAAGAGAAGGAGGAAGGGAAGGATAAAGGAAAGAGAAAAGGAAGAAAGACAAACGGGAAGGAAAAGAGAAGGAAGAAAAGAAGAAAGGGAGCAAGAGAAGGAGGAAGGGAAGGATAAAGGAAAAAGGAAGGGAAGATAAAGGGGAAGGAAAAAGAGAATGAAGGGAAGGAGGAAGGGAAGGATAAAGGAAAGAGAAAAGGAAGGGAAGATAAAGGGGAAAGAAAAAGAGAATAAAGGAAAGAACAAGGAGGAAGAGAAGGAGGAAGGGAAGGATATAAGAAAGAGAAGGAAGGAAAGACAAAAGGAAAGGAAGGAATGAGAAAGAGGGAGAGAGGGAAGGAAGGATGAAAGGATGGAAGGGAAGGAAGTAGGGAGGGAGGGAGGGAGGAAGGAAGGACGGAAGGAAGGACAAAAGGAAAGGAAGGATGGGAGGAAGAAAGGGTGGAAAGGAATGGAGGGGAAGAAACGGAGAGAGAGAATGAAGAAAAGAGAGAATGAAGAAAAGGCAGGGAAGTAGAGAGAAAGAGGGATGAAAGGGAGGGAGGGATGGAGGGAGAGAAGGAAGGAAAGACAAAGGGGAAGGAAGGGTGGAAGGACGAAAGGGTGGAAAGGAATGGAGGGAAGGAAGAAAAGAGAGAAGGAAGGAACGATGGAAGGAAGGATGAAAGGGTGGAAGGGAAGGAGAAAGAGGGAGGGAAGGAGGAAGGAAAGAGAGAAGGAAGGAAGGATAGGAAGGTGAGAGAGAGAAGGGCCTGAGAAAAGAGCCTAAGGGGCAGCATCCGGCCCCTGGGCCTGGGTTTACCCATATCTGATCTATTTGGAATCTGACTGCTAGATGGCAATGACTGGGTGGCATATGTTCTGTATCAGAAACTAGAGCTGATGTGGTCTATCCAATGCAATCAGCACCCCCAAATGACCAAACCGAATATAAAGTTGACCAAAAACAGATTCTAATGTTGAAGAGTGGTCCCTGGCCAAAATAAAGGTTGGGAACAATCAGACTATGACTTCCAGGCTGGTAACTGCAAGCTAGTCAGTTTGAGATCCTATTAGCTTGTTTATCTTAACTAAAATTTAGGGTTTTGACTTGTCCTGGATTGACTTGCAGCTCTGTATTGTCGCTGTCTGTCATCGGTCTTCCTGGATTCTTTCCTAGCAGTAGAAAGAAACGTGGGCGCCTGTTGAATCACCTCACCTGCTTACGTAATGGAGCAAATCTCAACGTAACCTTTGTGTTATCTCTTTCAAGTTCCTGGAAGTGACTGATGTATGAAATGGCAGAGAATGGAACAGACTGTGACCAGAGGCGCATAAGAATGGGCAAAGAACAGCACAATGGAAACTTTACAGGTACGACCGTGGGTCCCGCTCCACCTGCGATGATGATAATGAGGATGATGGTCTAGCCACTGTTAATGCAAATGCTGGATACTGATAAATGGGCCAATTCAACACCGCCCAGAATAATATTCAGAACAGGCTCACATTCACAATGTTCAGCCTGAAGAATCATAGAGTGCTACTGAAATACTGGAATTGTACTATTGATCACCCCAAAAGGAGTAAACCTATGGGATCAATGGGATTTTTGCAAGTATTGTCTCACCATTCCACAGTTGATTCATTGATACTATTATTGATTCATTTATTGATTGATTTACAACCTTTATATGCCGCCCTTCTCACCCCAAAGGAGACTCAGAGCGGCTTACAAGATATATGTACATACAATATATTGTATTATTAGCATATTACAATATGAGCATTATGTATTACTATATTGTACTACACCATTATATTGTAATATTATTAGTAATATAACATGTAATATAAAATATGTAATTATAATATCATATTGTTATTAGTAGTATTATATTGTATTACATTATAATACAGTATAATACAAAGACTTTTGCATCTGTCAAGTAGCAAATTTAGGTACTGCTTTTTGAGGGGATGCTAATTTAACTAATTTATGATACCATAAAACCTTCCAGTACATGTAATATAAAATATATAATTATAATATTGTATTATTATTATTAGTCGCTTCTGCTTCTGGTGTGAGAGAATTGGCCGTCTGCAAGGACGTTGCCCAGGGGACGCCCGGATGTTTTGATGTTTTATCATCCTTGTGGGAGGCTTCTCTCATGTCCCCGTATGAGGAGCTGGAGCTGATAGAGGGAGCTCATCCGCTTCTCCCCAGATTCGAACCTGCGACCTGTCGGTCTTCAATCCTGCCAGCACAGGGGTTTAACCCACTGTGCCACCAGGACTTGCAGTTTCTCAAGTCGCTCCTGACATGACCAAAAAAATATATTAGTAGTATTGTATTGTATTACATTATAATATTATAAATATTATATGTATATACAATATATTATATTATATTATATTATTAGTAAAGCACAGGAGACAAGATGGAATTGTCTTCAACTGTAGCCCCCTCTCTCTTCACTCTGGCCAGAGGAGCCGTTGGTGCCGGGGAACCAACTATTCCGGTTGGGAACACTGCTAGGGTTTAGGGGAGCTGAAATCTGGAAAAGTAGAGAAAATTTATTTATTTATTTATTTACAGTATTTATATTCTGCCCTTCCCACCCCACAGGCGACTCAGGGCGGATTACAATGCACATATACATGGCAAACATTCAATGCCAATTAGACATACAACATATATAGACAGACACAGAGGCAATTTAACATTCCAGTTTTTTCTGGCTTCATGAGGGTATGCTCGATTCTGGCCACAGGGGGCGCTGTCACTTCACTGTCCATTTGTGACACCAAGTCCTTTGATGGAGTACTTCCTCATTCTTCTGCATGCTGCTGGTAGGTTTTATGGTGTCATAAATTAGTTTTATTTATTTATTTATTTATTTGCGACATTTATATGCTGCCCTTGTCACCCCGAAGGAGACTCAGAGCGGCTTACAAGGTATATATTACATACAATATATTATATTAGCATAGTACAATATCAGCATTAAACATTGCTATATTGCACCATACCACTATATTGTAATATTATTAGTAATATTACATGTAATATAAATATATAATTGTAATATATTATTATTATTATTATTATTATATTGCATTATAATATTATAAATATTATATGTATATATAATATATTATATTATATTATTAGAATAGCACAGGAGACAAGGTGGAACTGTCCCCTGGCCCCCTTTCTCTTCACTCTGGCCCAGAGTGGTGTTGGGGGGAGGGGTCTCCAGCTGATGGCATATCCAGGATACAAGATGGAACTGTTAAATTAGCCTCCCCGCATAAAGTGGTACCTAAATTTCCTACTTGACAGATGCAACTGTCTTTCAGGCTGCATAGGTCGACAGCAAGCTAGACTAATGGCCGGAAGCTCACTCTGACCTGAGCTGGCTTCAAACTCTTGACCTCTCTGTCAGTAGTGATTTAATGCAACTGGCTCCCAGCTAGCTGTGCCACAACCCGGTCAAGTTTTTTGATCCCGAAGAAAGTGAGAATGAAGAATGACAGGGATGGCATTTGTTTTAAATGCCTCTTTCCCGATTCTCCTAACCTCCGTTCCGTATCCTTTTATTTTCATAGAACCCTCTTCGCTGGACGAACAGAAGCGGAAAGATCGAGAAGAACGCCAGGGCATCGTCCTCTGGAGGAGACCCCTTGTTACCTTGCAGTATTTTTTCCTGGAAACGTTAATAAGCTTGAAAGAATGGACCATAAAGTAAATACACAGTGATGATGATGATCATGATGATGATGATAATGTAGTAGTAGCAGTAGTAGTAGTAGTAGTAGTATTGTCAAAGGCTTTCATGGCTGGAATCACTGGGTTGTATGTTTTTTGATTGGTATGGCCATGTTCCAGAAGCATTCTCTCCTGACCTTTTGCCTGCATCTGTGGCAGGCATGCTCAGAGGTTGTAAGGTTTGTTGGAAACCAAACAAATGGGGTTTATATATCTGTGGAATGATGTCCAGGGTGGGAGAAAGAACTCTTGTCTGTTGGAGGTAAGTGTGAATGTAGCAATTGGCCACCTTGATTAGATTTTAATGGCCTAGCAGTTTTCAAGGTCTGGCTTCTGACTGCCTGGGGGAATCCTTTGTTGGGAGGTGATTAGTTGACCCTGAGAAGCCATTGAAATCCACAAGCATGTGGACAATTTCAACAGAAAGGAAGAAACCATGAAAATGAGCAAATTCAAGCTACCAGTATTTAAAAAATCTTTTCAAAAATGCATTTTGTTACTGTTTATAATATTATAATTGAATAATATTTATTCAATTTTAAGCATAAATCAAATTAAGAAATACTCTAAAATCATAACAGTAAATAAAGAACAGCATTCAAAAACCAGGAGAATTCCAGACAGGAAACAATCAGGGCCAACTAATCAACTCCCTACAAAGGGTTCTCTCAGGCAGTAAGAAGACACACTTAGAAACTGCTAGGCCATTAAATGCCAATCAAGGTGGCCAATTTCTGCATTCAGTTCTTTATCCGACCTTGGACACTCCAGAGATATATAAACCCCATTTTTCTAGTTTCCAACAGACCTCACAACCTCTGAGGATGCTGAGGTTTATTATTATTATTATTATTATTATTATTATTATTATTATTATTATTATTATATTCTCTCCCGACGTCGGGAGAGAATATAATAATAATAATAATAATAATTATTATTATTATTATTATTATTATTATTATAGTCCCGCAGGACTTGGTGCGGCTTACAAGAGGCTGAGCCCAAAGTACATCATCAACAAAAACACAACAGACGGCAATACAATGCAACAATAAATAAGCTCAAAAACTTACAACAACCCAATGATGATAATTGTTATGTCTAAGTATTTGGAAGCTGAGGTGTATGGATCAATTAGGTGTGCTTGCAGTGCAAGGCCCAGGTGTTTGCCATCTTTTCCTTTGTTCAAGTCCCTTGGATAGTTCAGTTGTCTCCCTTCTTATTATAGCACACAAAGTCTCTAAGGACCCTTCCACACAGACCTATAACCTAGAATATCAAGGCAGAAAATCCCACAATATCTGAGTTATCTGAGTCCACACTACTATCTGTTTCTTGGGCCAGAAATTCAATGACGACTCTTTCTTTGAGCTGCAGTTTCATGGTTCTAATCAATCAATCAGAAAAAGGAAAGCCTCTATCAGTAGAGTAAGGTTCCCTCTATCATATCATGCAGAGATAGTCAAGCAGCTGTGAAAGCAAGAAAAGTTAGAGCGATGGAGGCATTACTTTTTGACCCAACCACGTATTTCGCAGTTGATATCACAAATGGGCCGGCTCACTGGCCAAACATCTGGCTTACCATTGCTGGAATAAAGTAATATATGAGAAAGGAAGCCATTAACATATAATATATTCAGGATCAAGTCTCAGGATGGGCTTTACGACCCAGTGTATGTGTGAAAAAATGAAATGCAAAGATACAGAATAGGGGACACATGGCTCGAGAGCAGTACGTGTGAAAAAGATATTGGAGTTAAACATGAGCCAACAATGTGATGCGGCGGCAAAGAAAGCCAACAGGATTTTGGCCTGCATCAATAGGAGTCTAGTGCCTAGATCCATGGAAGTCATGCTCCCCGTGCTCTATTCTGCCTTGGTTAGACCACTTTACCTGGAATATTGTGTCCAATTCTGGGCACCGCAATTGAAGGGAGATATTGACAAGCTGGAATGTGTCCAGAGGAGGGCGACTAAAATGATCAAGGGTCTGGAGAACAAGCCCTATGAGGAGCGGCAGAAAGACTTGGGCATGTTTAGCCTTCAGAAGAGAAGGCTGAGAGGAGATGTGATAGCCATGTATAAATATGTGAAGGGAAGTCACAGGGAGGAGGGAACAAGCATGTTTTCTGCTGCCCTGAAGACTTGGAACAATGGAACAATGGCTTCAAACTACAAGAAAGGAGATTCCATCTGAACATGAGGAAGAACTTCCTGACTCTGAGAGCTGTTCAGCAGTGGAACTCTCTGCCCCGGAGTGTGGTGGAGGCTCCTTCTTTGGAAGCTTTTAAACAGAGGCTGGATGGCCATCTGTTGGCGGTGCTTTGAATGTGATTTTCCTGCTTCTTGGCAGGAGGTTGGACTGGATGGCCCAGGAGGTCTCTTCCAACTCTATGATTCTATATTCTTACTTTTTCCAGGTCTGGACTTTAAGCACATCTTGATTTCTTCTTCCCTTAGATTGTGGCATCGCCGAAGTATCGTGGTGTCTCTCTTGCTGCTGCTTTCAGTGCTTACGTCTGTGTATTATATTGAGGGAGCACATCAACAGGTAAAAACATTGTGTAACATTTCCATCTTGTCTTTACTAATAATATAATATAGTATATTGTATATACATATAATATTTATAATATTAAAGTGTAATACAATATAATAATAATAATAATACAATATTATAATTATAATTATATCTTTATATTTCATGTAATATTAGTAATAATATTACAATATAATGGCATAGTGCAATATAGTAATATATAATACTGATATTGTACTATGCTAATGTAATATATTGTATGAAAATATATATTGTAAGCCGCTCTGAGTCCTCTTCGGGATGAGAAGGGCAGCATATAAATGCCGTAAATAAATAAAATAATAAATAAATAGATTTGCTAAAGTGTTTTCTGTGTGTGCGGAAAGCTTGCCGGTGTTTTCTTGAGTTTTGTTTGACAGATGCAACTGTCTTTCGGGCTGCAAAGGTCAACAACAAGCTACACAATTGGTCGGAAGCTCACTCCGACCCGGGCTGGCTTCAAACTCATGACCTTTTGGTCAGAAATGATCTTAATGCAGCTGACACTTAGACAGCTTCACCGTGATTGAACCCAGCCATCCAAACCCTTTTGGGAAAAAAATTAAGGTTTTGTTTCATGACACATGATTTTAAAGCTGTTTTAGCCTCATTCAAGTCATTGAATTGAAAACCACGCAGGTTGCCTTTCAAAGCTCCAAACAGGTAAAAGACAGAAGGCTGTGGGTCCGAAGGTGGCAGTGGACCCCTATTCTTGCTCCACATGTTCTCTTGTAGCGAGGGCATCAGTTTCCAGGTGGAAAGCAGTCCCGGTCAAGGTTGGCTTGATGTGCCTTCCTCTTGGCACATTTCTCCCTTTCGCACTCCCATTTGTGCCTTTTCGAATTCCGCAGCATTGCTGGTCACAGCTGGCCTCCAGTTAGAACACTCAAGGGCCAGGGCTTCCCAATTTTCTCTTGGTGTCTATGCCACAGTTTTTAAGTTTCACTTTACGCTCTTCTTTAAATCTCTTTTCCTGTCCACCAGGAGTTGGGAGTAGAGTAACTGCTTTGGGAGATGGTGATCTTTGGGCAGTCGGACAACGTGGCATTCAGTCCAGCAGAGCTGATGGTGTGGCCTTTGCTTCTTCCATCATGCTGACATTTGTCTTCCCAAGAGATTTTTCGGAGGCAATGCTGATGCAATCATTCCAGGAGTTGAGTGTGACCTCTGTAGACAGTCCATGTTTCCTCCCATGTCGTTCCCATATGTATCTGTGATGACGAAAGAAAGCTCTCCTTTGAGAATCTTCAAACTTAAGTAGGCTCACATTGGAAGATATTATCTTTCAGACAGGGTGGACCTAAACTATTTCTGTAGTGTGCCAATGACACTTTGCTGTCTGTTCTTCCTTCTTCCCTTCAGTATGTGTTCTATATGGAGAAGAAGTTCTTTTGGTGTGCCTACTGGGTAGGCTTGGGCATTCTCTCTTCCGTCGGACTTGGGACCGGTCTTCATACGTTTCTGCTCTACTTGGTGAGTACAAGTGAGCCGTGGCATTCATACCAAAGTAACTTGGATTCTTAATGCAAGAATTATTTATGTACTTAAAAATCGTGATTTGAAGTTTCTGGAAATCTTCAATTACCAGCTTAGTGTTTTATCCTCTTATTGAGAGTTATAGTTTGATGAAGGCACCAGCACTCTTTGACAGAGAAGGCTAAAGGCCTATTTGCTCTCCCTCGAGGCTTGTCTTCCATGCTGCTGCCTCTTCCTTGTGCTCCCTTGGTACCATCCCTTCCTCCCTCTTCCTTCCTTCCTCCCTCTCTCCCTGCTTCTGTCCTTCCTTCCCCCTTCCTTCCTTCTTTTCTTCCTCCTCTCCTTCCTTCCTTGCTCCCTTCCTTCTTTCCTTCCTTCCCTTCCTCTTTCTCTCCCTCCCTCAATCCCTTTCTTCCTTGCCTCCCTCCTTTCTTCCTTTCTTCCTTCCTTCCTTCCTTCCTCCCTCAGTCCCTCTTTCCTCCCTTTCTTCTTTCTTTTTTCCACCTTTCTTTCTTCCTCCTCTCCTTCCTTTCTCCCTTCTTTCTTTTCCTTCCTTTCTTCCTCTTTCTCTCCCTCTTCTTCCTTTTCCTTCTCTCCTTCCTTGCTTGCTCCCTTCCTTCTTTCCTTCCTCTCTCTCTCCCTCCCTCAATCCCTTTCTTCCTTGCTTCCCTCCTTCCTTCCTTCCTTGGTCCCTTTCTTCCTTCCCTTCTCCTCTTTCTCCCTTCCTCCCTCAGCCCCAACCCTTCCCCCCCTTCTTCTTTGCCTCCGTCTTTCTTTTCTTCCTCCTCTCCTCCCTTCTCCCTTCTTTCTTCCCTTCCTTCCCTTCCTCTTTCTCTCCCTCCCTCAATCCCCCTTTCCTTGCCTCCCTCCTTCCTTCCTTGCTTGCTCCCTTCCTTCCCTTCCATTCCCTTCTCTTCTCCTCTCTCTCCCTTCCTCCCTCAGTCCCATCCATTCCTCTCTTTCTTCCCTGCCTCTGTCCTTCTTTTCTTCCTCCTCTCCTTCCTTCTTTCCTTCCCTTCCTTCTCTCCTCCCTTACTTCCTTCCTTCCTCCTTTTCTTCTTTGCTTCCCTCCTTGTTTCCCCCCTTCCTTCTTGTAGAATCATAGAATCCTAGAGTTGCAAGAGACCTCATGGACCACCCAGTCCAACCCCATTCTGCCAAGAAGCAGGAAAATCCCATTCAAAGCACCCCCAACAGATGGCCATCCAGCCTCTGTTCAAAAGCCTCCAAGGAAGGAGCCTCCACTACACTCAGAGGCAGAAACTTCCACTGCTGAACAGCTCTCACAGTGAGAAAGTTCTTCCTCATGTTTAGGTGGAATCTCCTCTTTTCTTCCTTCTCTCCATCCTTCCTCCCTCCCTTCTTTCTTTCCTTCCTTCCCCTTTTCTCTCCCTCCCTCAGTCCCATCCCTTTATCCCTTTATTCCTTGCCTTTTGTTGTTTTTATCATCCTTATGGGAGGCTTCTCTCATGTCCCCGCATGAGGAGCTGGAGCTGATAGAGGGAGCTCATCCGCCTCTCCCCGGATTCGAACCTGCGACCTGTCGGTCTTCAGTCTTGCCGGCACAGTGGTTTTACAATCAAAGAGCATTCTGAACTCCACCAATGATGGAATTGAACTAAATATGGCACACAGAACTCCCACGACGAACAGAAAATATATATATCAGTGATTGGTTGGCGGGGGAGGGGGGGGGCAAAATACTGTTTGCTTATCATTGAAAATTACCTAGGGCTGCCTCTGGGGTCACCACAACATGAGGAACTCTATTAAGGTGTCGTGGCATTAGGAAGGTTGTGTGGATGCACCCCTAGTTTACCAAAACGTATGCTGCAAAAGTTTCTTTCTCCTATTTAGTCCCAAAAGTGTTGTCATTTGTCTTTGCATACAGTGTTCTTTATGTAGTAGGCAAAGTCGTTGAAAGTCGTTGAAAGTGGAGTTGAGAGTGAATTTGACCACTTTGGGGCGGGCATTTATCAATACACAACCCAGCCTTTGCTGTTTTCTCTGCTCCTAGTTCCTGATCTCCCCGCGTGGTGTCTCTGCAAACTCACCTGAACTTCATAGAGAGCCCTTCTTGTAAATTCCCCAAGAGACATTTGTTCAGAGCACCGCTTTCTAGCAAACGTTGGGTCGGAGTGTTGTTTTGTAACAAGGACACTAGAAGGAGCTGCGCTCTTAGCAGGCACAACCATTGCTTCTTTCTCACTGTAGTTTTGCTTTTGCTTTGCTTCTGGCAGGGTAAAACACGAGGCACAAACAGTGAAATGGTCTCTAAAATGCAGCATTTTGACCCGCAAGTGGTTCACAGTATCGATAGCCTTTACCGAATTATGTGGAAAATAGGGATGTTGAATCATAGACGTCTAGGTCTGTCTGGAAATGAATTGCCTTCATTATCTGGAGGCTTGTACGTCCTTGCAGCATCCTGTTTTCCTTTTTGTTCTATGTCGGCGCTTAGTTGGATGACATGAGTGAGAGATCATGACAAGGCCCTCTGTTTCCATCTTGACATCTCTTGGCTGAAGTTTGGTGTTTGAAATGCACTCTGCACCTGCTTGAGAGCCTTATGACCTGCCAGTTTTCACAATCAGATCAGGCATCGAGTGGTTGTCTGAGTGTAAAGTTGCCTTGAGTCCCCTCCAGGTTGGAGAAAGGCAGGGTAGAAATGTAGTAAATAAATAAATAAGAGCACCTCAAGCTTTGGAGAGCTTCTGTTCAAACATTTGAAAGCTCTCTGCTTGGGTGGTGATGGCACGATCGTCAGCATAGATTTCCCCCCCCCCCCCATGAGAAACTGCGAGTCGCTTCTGGTGTGAGAGAATTGGCCATCTGCAAGGATTTGCCCAGTAAACATTGCCCAGATGTTTTGATGTTTTACCCTCCTTGTGGGAGGCTTCTCCTCTTAAAAGCTCTTCTTTCAGAGTAAACCTTCTCTTTCTGTCTCTTCCTTCAGTCCACCCATTCCTTCCTTCTCTCTTTCCGCTGGATCCCTTTCCCTCTCTTTTTGCCCCCTTCTTTCTCTTGTTCTCCTCCCTCTTTCTCTTTCCTGGGTATTTTTGTGCAACGAACATTGCAATTGCACAATCCCTTGTGGGTTTCTCTCTTCTTTCTCAGAAGTCAGATTTGCTTCCCTAATTCTTTGAAACAGGCTCAAGGAGGAACCGAGGAGGGCAGCGAAAGACACAATGGCTGTGGCAGGCGACAAAAGCGGTATATCTTATTTGTAGTGCAAAAAAACACTTTAAAACAATACAATAATTAAAATGAAGAACAATTTTAATCAGTATAAACTTATTAGTATTTCAGTGGGAAGTGAAATACTAATAATATACTAATAATAATACCATACTAATAATATAATAATAATATAATACTGCGTGACTGCATTTATGTGTACGAACCCACACGATGTCTTTGATCATCTGGAGAGGCCCTGCTCACGCTCCCACCTCCTTCGCAGGCACGATTGGTTGGGACGTGGGAGAGGACCTTCTCGGTGGTGGCCCCTCGACTCTGGAATTCACTCCCTAAGGACATCAGACATGCCCCAACGCTGGCAGTCTTTAGGAGCAGCCTGAAAATGTGGTTGTTCCAGTGCCAAATTTGGTCCAGATCCATCATTGTTTGAGTCCACAGTGCTCTCTTGATGTAGGTGAACTACAACTCCCAAACTCAAGGTCAATGCCCTCCAAACCTTTCCAGTATTTTCTGTTGGTCATGGGAGTTCTGTGTGCCAAGTTTGGTTCAATTCCATCGTTGGTGGAGTTCAGAATGCTCTTTGATTGTAGGTGAGCTATAAATCCCAGCAACTACAACTCCCAAATGAAAAATTTTTTGATTGATGGTCAATTTTTTGATTGATGGTCAATTTTTTGATTGATTAATTTTTTGATTGATGGTCACTCCTTGTGTAGTGAGACATTTTGTTGCCAAATTTGGTAAGTATTGGCCCAGCGGTTCTTTTGTTTTTAAGCCACTCATTACGACATGAGCATTTTATATGTATATAGATTAGTATTGCTCCTTACTCTTATGTACCATTTAAAGAATCCTTGGGAATGAATCAGAATAGATTTCTGAGTAGATGAGTGGCAGAACACGCTGTGTCTGTTAGCATTTATGGAGAAGCAAACGGCAAAATTCAGCTTTAGCAATTACACAACAGATGGCTCGCGAAATGAAACCTGTTGGCCCGTTGATTGCATATTCAAACAGCAATATTATTTATTATCCCCCTGTAACTGATAGCAACTTTTGGTTATCTACTTGACAAACTTGCATTTGACACCTGCTTTAATGCATTTGAGTCTCTTTTGTGGAGAGTGCATTGTTTTAAGTTTTTTGAGCTGTATGGCCATGTTCCAGAAGCATTCCCTCCTGACATTTCTCCTGCATCTATGACAGGCATCCTCAGAGGTTGTGAGGTCTGTAGGAAACTAGGAAAATGGGGTTTATATATCTGTGGAATGATGTCCAGGGTGGGAGAAAGAACTCTTGTCTGTCGGAGGTAGGTGTGAATGTAGCAATTGGCCACCTTGATTAGCATTTAATGGCCTAGCAGTTTTCAAGGTGTGGCTTTTTACTGCCTGGGGGAATCCTTTGTTGGGAGGTGATTAGCTGTTCCTGATTGTTTTTTGTCTGGAGTTCCCCTGGTTTTTTTTAATATTGTTCCTGATTTTAGAGTTTTTAAATACTGGTAGCCAGGTTTTGTTCATTTTCATGGTTTCTTCCTTTCTGTTGAGATTGTCCACATGCTTGTGGACTGAGAGGTGATTAACTATCCCTGATTGTTTTTTGTCCTGAGTTCCCTTGTTTTTTTTAATATTGTTCCTGATTTTAGAGTTTTTAAATATTGGTAGCCAGATTTTGTTCATGGTTTCTTCCTTTCTGTTGAGATTGTCCACAAGCTTAAGGCTTGAGAGGTGATTAACTGTCCCTGATTGTTTTCTTGTCTGGAGTTCCCCTGTTTTTTAGTATTGTTCCTGAATTTATTT